TCTGTGTGGTCAGAAGAGGGCAGAGAGAGGAGCCAAACAACTGCCACATTAATTAGTCATCCCTGACTGCTGCCCACACAACACAACTGATAATATGCCCCATGACACAGACATCTTGAGGGCGTAGCCAATGAAGCCAGTGAAGCTGAGCCTACACACAGGAACAGAGTAGCATTAGAGTGCAGATTATCATGACGCTCTTACCTTGAAGGTGTACTTGCGGCTGATGTGGTCCTCGGGTCCCACGGGGGAAATGACATAGCTGGGCAGAGGAATGCTGCCCAGAGCCGTCTCCTCTCGACTATCTGTGAGCAAAGGACAGATGCTAGATGAAAAATGTTTGAAAATTGTTAGATTACAATTGAGTAATGGTTTATTGGCAATACTCTTAAACAGACACAGATGACAGAAAATAAGTGACACTCCACTCTACCCACCAAAATGATTAAAGATCAAAACAGTATTACTTAGTGTGAACTGTGTTAAAATCATACAGTATAATTATTCAATATGATATGTGCAAGCAATAGGGATAAAAATAGTAAATGAAAAACCTGCTATTACCTATTAAATTGTAGGTACTCTCATAATAATGTATTAAAGAAATGATGTGTTTTACTTATAAAACATGATTACTGTGCAATAAAATTAGAAACTGTTTTAGATAATTGCAGCTAATTAAAGCTGAGTATTATAACTCACCTTTATAGTAAAACAGGCAGTAATCAGACAACACAAACCATTTCCTCTTCCACAGTCTCATGCCTGAGCTGTCCTGATGGTGAAAGAACAGTAATATTTCAGCCCACAAAACATTTTCAGACGTTATCTTTTAAATTAAAAATAAAAATAACAGTCAGTTTATAATCATCATTACCAGCCAATGTAAATATTATTACAATTTAATTGGAGGCCCCTCTGTTCAAATTGAATATTTATTTAATATGTCATGTTAAATAACATGCTCAGTTAGTCAGTTTATTGCCTGTGGATCTTAGTTCATCACTATTGTACAACTATTTTAACATCTGAACATAATTCAGTTCAGATAAAAATCAGATTCTGTAATCACTCGTATCAGGGTTTCACTTTTGAGGGCCACACCTGTTTATAGAGCCATCCTCTCACCACCACTGGGACATTAGGGTTCCTTTTGATGGAATGGTCACGCTTGCCAAAGCAATGCACCTTCCCATTGGGTTTCAAACTCTGTGGTATTTAAAAGAAAAAAGAAAACCACTTGTTTCATTTGATTTGATTAAAAATGCATATATACACAGGCATCAATAAGGTAAAGTGGCATCCAAAAGTATTTGGATGCTTAACTTTTTTACTTTTTGGCCAAAGTGTCAAAAACATTCTGGGGCTAATTTATGTACAAGGAAAACACTTTTACTGCAAAATGTTTACAATAACAAGGTTTGTGGCATTTATTAATCTCAATCCATATAAAGTCCAGCACAAATGATCATTTGTCAACCCAAATGTGCACAGAGGGCCACACAGTTTTCTTACCTGTGTTACTTGAGAATAAAATGAGATCTTATTAAAAAAAAAATTAAAAAAAAATATTGCAGGTATCATATCGCATTTTCAAAGCCACAACAAAAAAATGACTTCAATTAAAATAATACTGTCCCAACCCTAACCATTCAGACCTCAAGGTATCACCTGAAATGTTGCATAGCCAATCAAAAAAAAAAACTTTTTAATAATGTAAATGTAAAAAATTTAAATAATAATAATAATAATAAACTATAAATATACTATATAAAAATTGCATTGCAATATTATTATTGTAAATATAATATTAATGTAACAGTATTAAATATTAAAATATTAAAATCAAAATATAAAATGTAAATATAAATATGAATAAATAATATAAATAAACAAAGTAAACATTTAATTATATTTATAATATTACATTATATAAATCTAAAATAATAAAATGTAAATTGTGTAAATAAACTATTTTAAAAAGAGTTAATACTCTAATGTCATTCAGTCACTAAAAAAATCACTGTATTATTCCTTTTTTCAAGTGAACTTGCATTTAACATAGGTCTTATTTTCTTTCACTGTGTAATTTTGTTGTGCAGTTTTGAGGATGGGAGCATGTCACACAACCTGCCTATGTTGACATCTGTTTAAATTGGCTTGTATCTGCCACCTGTCAGGGGAAAAAAAGCTACTAAAATACTGTACAGATTTATTAGACGTTTGGCCTTTGACATCATCAACACAAGAAGCGATTTTTCCTCCCCTTGTTAAACTATATTTATATATATACTATATACTGTATATATATACACACACACACACACACACACGCAGGTATATCTTTTAGATTTGTCATGTTTTTTAAATGGAGTCTCTTATGCTAATCACTGCTGTATTTGATCAAAAATACAGAAAAAAACTGTAATATTGTTAAATATCATTGCAATTTCTAATATTGGTTTCCTATCTTAATTATTATATTTTAAAATATAATTTATTTCTGTGATGCAGCACTGAATTTTCAGCATCATTACTCCAGTCCTCAGTGTCACATGATCCTTTTATAAATCATTCTTATTCTGATTTATTATCAGTTTTGAAACTCTTGTGCTGCTTAATATTTTTTTGGAACTTGTGTTCCATAAATAAAATAAAAAGTTAAAAAGAACATAATTTACTCAACTATTTTCTGCAGTTCTCCAGCTGTGGTCCTTGGAGAGTCTTTAGCCACTCAAACTCTCCTCCTCACCGTGCATTAGGACGATATAGACACACGTCCTCTTCCAGGCAGTTTCGTAACATTTTCTGTTGATTGGAAATTCTTAATTATTGCCCTGATGGTGGAAATGGGAATTTTTAATGCTCTAGCTCTTTTCTTAAAGCCACTTCACAATTTGTGAAGCTCAATTATCTTTTGCTGCACATCAGAAATATATTCTTTGGTTTTTCATTGTAATGGATGATTAAGGGAATTTGGGCTTTGTTTCCCCTCCTATTTATATTTCTGTGAAACAGGAAGCCATGGCTGGATAATTTAATGTTCATAATCACCCTGGAGTGCTCAAAATTGTGAATATGAATGGGAATATACTTCAGAGATATTTTACTCATAAGAATTTCTAGGGGTGCCAATAATTGTGTCCAACGTGTATTTGAGAAAAACATTTATTTCATAATGATATTCCCCCCATTTTAAATTTTATTATCCAATGAAAGGTTAGATTTTTGTGAATTTGTAAAATAAAAGATCAAAAGGATTAACAATGCAGATTAATTTTCACAGCCTTCTTTGTTCATATTTACCAAGGGTGCCGATATTTTTGGCCATGACTGTATATGTTAATTTAATATCTCTTTGTCCTTTAATTCTAGGAAATTATGTATGGTCATAGTAAAATATTCAAATTAAATAGGTTACTTGATAAAGCTACTAATTATAATAAAAACACATTCATGATTTATTGCAGCACATTATGAGGAAACTACTTCAAAAAATCCTAGAGCAGAAGCAGATAGTGAAGAGGAGGGGGTGAGAAAACTACGTCTGGAGGAGTTGTTTGCCTCACTGGATGCTTATATAATAGAAAGAAAGATAATAGCTTCTTTCTTCTAGAATCTGTAACACAATGGAACGAACAGGATGAGGGCAGGGTGATGAGGGCTGATGACAGTGAGGATGAGGATGATAATGAGAGAGATGCTACCTATGTACCAGAGGATGAGGCTGATAGTCATGATGTCAATAGCGGCCAAATTGTTTTTCAAGAGCAGTCTGCAGCTAGCGAACAAAGTAAGATTCCACAGATGGGGAAGCCTTGTGGTCCAATGTGTAGGAAGAAATGCATGGAAAAAATAACAGAGGATCAAAGGAGACAGACATTTACAGCATATTGGAATATGTCCTACAGTGAGAAAAAGAGCTTTATTTTCCATATGGTTTCACAGCGCCAGACCATGCGCCACACCTCAGCTGTTCCTAGCAGATGAACCAGGTAACTCAGTTACCATCAAACAACAGGAAGTCTGTAAAACAAAATTTTTAACAACCTTGGGCTACCATCCAAAAAATGATAGACTGATAGCTTACCTCTTTCCAGCTGTTCGCAGAAAATATACATGATACAACATTTGTATTTCAGTGGATGTATATATTTATAGCAAAAAAAAATCTAAATCAAATCGCTTATAGTGAGACTGTTGAATGCCATTACTCAAAAGTGGCTTTGACAGAAGAAAAATCTGATTAATTTGTTGTATTACTTCCTGTACCGCTGCATCAGAAATATGCAGAATGGTTTGCATCTTAAGGAACAGCAAGCCTAAATTATGTTAAAGTTGTATCATCCGACCATCCTGTTTGACACTGTAAAGCTGCTTTGACACCACCAGTAATGCATAAAGCGCTATACAAATAAAGGTGACTTGACTTGACTTGACTATTTACCTTACCGATGTACAGTGCATGATATAAACAAGTGTTGTGTGAAGCATGGTGGTGCTATAGTGTGTGTGTGTGTGTGTGTGTGTATATATATATATATATATATATATATATATATATATATATTAAAATAAAGTTCCAAGGCATTTTTGAATGGTTAAGCTTTATTGTTTTGCCACATGATGAACAAAATAGAATGAAAAAATAGTTCCCCCTCCCTTTAAAAGTAAGAGATTTCTAACTTGTTCCCCCACGAGAAATTGAATCACTGAATCCACATCTTGTTAATTGGAATAACACCTTCCTGCTTGATAATGAAAAACCACTTATTGATTGGTCTGATTTAAATTATATATGACCGTTATGTGATTTAAAGACACCCCAGTGTGTGTGTGTGTGTGTGTGTGTGTACCTACTTAACCATATTTTGGGGACAAATTTGTACTCAAAAGTGAACTAAACCTGACAAAATTGGCAAAAAACCATCCTTTGGAGACGTTCTCATTTGTAAAACTGGTATAAAAATAAAGTAAACAAAGTTTTTTCAAAAACAAAAGAACGGAAAACAGAGTCTGCTCTTTTTGAAAAACAAGTTTGTTTAAACTGTATTAAACATTATTTGGACTCCATTATAACCTCCAGAGATACACAAAGACCATTTGGCTGGCGACTAAACTGTAGTCCGGTGTAAGCTAAACATCGTAGCCCCCCACCTGCCATATCTTCTTCATGAGGTTGGCCTCCAAGTCACTAAAAGACAAGGTTCTTCCCCATGACTCATCCTACAGCATTTCGCCAGTCTCATTCAAATTTTTAAGCTAATTTAACCATTAAACCACCTGATAAAATGAAGAGCTCTATCGTATAAGGAAAAACAGTTGAAGAAAAAAATTATAGAGTGTTAGAAGCAATAAAAAGGTGTCATGTTTATCTGTCTTGATACAATTTGATGAGGACAGAATGTCTGATAGGATATTGGATGTGTAAATTATGCAGTTAAACCTTACATACCTCCACCAACAGACAGATTACTGAACTCATCAATGATGGAGGAGCTAGCATCTTCAGCAGCAGCTTGTGGCTGGTCTCTTTCTTCTCCAACGCTAAGCTGATGGTCAGACGGTGGAGGTGGAGGATTATTTGGGTTGTTCATTTGGGCCTGGTCTTTCTCTGTCTGCACTCTGACTTTCAGGTGAGCAAAGGTATTCTCAAATAAATTCAGATCATCCTCACAGCTTTGCACAAGGACAATGCCAGTAGTGTAAAAGGATATTGTGAGAATGAGATGATTTGTGTCATGCAGTTCATCTTGAAATATGGTAAATCTTTCTCCATAGTCAATTTCTGTTTTAACAACTTGCTGGTGGTATTCATTATCAATGACTGATTTCCATTCAGTAATCAGCGTGGTGTAGAAAATTAAGTTACTCTTTATTCTTCTCCCTTTCGGATGACTGTAATCAGCATAAAGAATATCAGGATTTTTTCCCAGGATCTTCTTTTTGTATTTTTCCCTGGCCTTGTCAGTGGTAATACTCTCTGGATAATCAATCTCCCTGCTCCCTGCTTGGTCATTGGTCGCCATGGTGTTCTGGTAACTATGGCAGAGCTGCAGATGCAGATTTCAGCTTTGAATTATGAAATATTTTATATGATATAATTAGATTTTGATGAAGTTTTTATGCTTTTTATGCCAGTCTAGTTTAAATAAATCATGCATGTCATATTTTTCAAACAGGGCATCTTGCTTTATTAATATT